AATGGCAGCGGATGGGGGGGGGGGGAGGAATAGGGTATCCTGATATGGGGGGAGGCACGGGAGGAATAGGGGTGCACACAGACCTCTGCCATGTGAGGGAGGAAGAAGGAAAAGGGACACACAGCATTTCAGGTCCTGAAATAGAAGGGGGATGGCGGGGTGGCCCACAGGGAGCTTATGGGGAGGAATGGAGAATGCATGGAGCCCCTGCTGGGTGTGGTGAGCACAGCTGACAGAAGCTATGACGTGTGTGATGCACTAGTAATACTGGTCTTCAGTTCTGAAGTGTTTTCAGATATTCTTTGTAAGTATCTTGGTTTCTTACAGTGGCTAGGTTAACTTCTTGTTGGTGTCACAGCAGAAATTGGCATGGAGGAAGGATTTGAGACAGGGTAGTGGCTTCCAGATGAGTTTGGGGAGAATACTGTATGTATAAGGTGCGGCATGCAAGAAGACAGATTTGTGGAGAAGGTGGACTAAGACTATAGCCTCGAATGCCTATCAAACCAGTTCCAAAGAGCTGGCTGATAGCATTTTACTTCTATTGACTGGCAGCTCTCCTCCTTTTAAGATCGTATCTAGCACTTGCTCCCCCCCTCTCTCACTCCCTTCATACAAAGGACCTGAAAAATCTTACCAGACACCTGTTAGTCAGAGGACTACGTGAAGATGAGGGACCACACCCAAGTGAGAAATCAAGTTCTCTGCCAGTTGCTGCTTGGAGTGTTTTCCTATCAGACTGCTGTCCTTGGACTTAAGCATTGCCAAATTTTTCTAAAACCACAAGCCCAAATGGATTGTAAAACAAGCCCAAACCATCCCCCTCCTTTGAGAACCAACTGTAAGCATTGAAGATATATTCTCCCTGCTTCCCCCAACATACCCCCTTCTCCCCCCCCACACACACTTTGCCAAACCCGATGATCTGAGGGTGCCACACTGCCCCCCGGAAGCCTGTCTGCCATGGCAACTCGCCAAGAGCAATGCCACCCTTCCATGTCGATGGCCTGGCCTGGCCACGGCCCCAGGCTCAGCTGGACAAATGCTGGTGCTGCCAGGCAGAAACAGCCTAAAACACCCGTAGTCGCTGCGGGAGGACTCAAGGGGTAACTCCAAGTGCCAGCGGGGCACGCAGGGTGTCTGTGGTGGGTGGCTGGCTCAGGCCCTGAATCCTACCTGGGGGGTGGAGGTGCAGGAGGGGTCCAGTCCAGTGTTCCTCTAAGTCCTCTGTCTGCTGTCTTCCAGTCCTGACTTTCCACAGAGGCTGGAGTTGCTGCATGGCGGGCGGCATGGTGGTGGCGATGTGGTCCTTGGATCTGTTTTTGGATTTTGCACCCTGCTCCATGGTCTTTACAATAAAGACCCAAAGATCCACTGGCCAGTAGGTGTCTGATGAAGTGACATGACATCTTGGCTACTGTGAGCGTGGTGGGATGGGGACTCTGCAAATGTAAATCTTTTAGTGTCAGATGGGGTTTTCAACCTTCTCAGTGAATAGTCCCAATACTGCCGCTGCTGCTCACAGCTCTTCTGAACAGCAGTATGAAACTCATGAGTCTTGACAATGCTGCTGACGCCCAAAGTTATCGAAATACAGCAGTAAAACTGACTGTCCTGTTAATTTCACTCACCTCTTTGCCTGGCCCAAGGGGAAGTCAAAATCCCCAGGCCTTGTTTGTGAAGTTGGGGAAATATCCCAGAGCAGAGGCTGCTAACCCCTTTTCACTTGGGAGGGGGAATGAAGATCCTCTCCCCACAGCTGCTGGAATCCCCTCACCACCTTTACTCTGCAAGAGAGACCTTGAGGATATGGTAGTGTAGATGTGGGCCAGCATGCTATATGGCTTTTCCTTTGACTTTGCAAAGCAGTACTATTCCAGGAAAAAGAAAAATTTGCATTAGATGTTGAGTGATTGTTGCTCACATACTGTCTACATAGACACTGTTTTAGGGCATCCTTCCAAAATGAATACCAGAATTGGCAATTTGAACTAGCAAATATCTGTCTGCTAGAAGCATGTTGCTATACTAATGCCTTCTGCTAAAATAGCAGGAAGTGTGGCTTAGCAATAGCTTTGGATCAAATGGACTGTCTAATCTCCCGGCCTCTTAATTCATGGCAAAACATTTTTCATAAGAGTGACCAGGGATCAGAACAATATTTCAGACTTCAAAAAAGCATGATTGCATAATACTTGTAATTTTTGACTGTTTGTTGTTTCAACTTGTGGCCTTTAAAAAGAAGATAAATGGCTTCAATTAATTCAGACATTGAATTAAGTAAGGGGAAGAGTGGCAAAGTTTTAACTGCAATTAAGAGCAATTAAATGTTTTCTAGATTTCAGTTACAGAAAACAAACTTGTAATCTACGTATCAGCACTTACATAAACTAACACCAGTGCACATGTGTTCAAGTATCTTTCATCTGCTCACTGAACAGTGATCTTGAACAGCCATGTCCCATGGATAGTAGACACAATATGTAATACAAAATTAACTGCTTCATGCTAGGGGGCCTCAAAGGCATTCTGCTGTGCGCTCATCAATCCTTGATCATGAGAACCAGGGTAAATTGTTGCCTTTTTAAAAAGTAATCTAAGGGTGAAATGCTGACCCTACGAAAGTTGATGAGGTGTTTTGACATTGGCTTCAAGGGAACCAGATTTCATCCTAAATCTTGACACTCAATCCTAGGCCACTTCAAATTGCTGCTGTCAAAACTATTTGCTGCTTTAAAATAATGGCAGATGTGCTGATTAATCAGCATTTTGGGGAGGAGAGCAAGATATTGTCACAGTTTACAGAGTGTAAGCTTTTCCATACCCCTGACCTCATTATCTCATATTAATCTGTATGCCCAATAGTGCTGTGTAAGTAAAACTATGTGGGTTTGGTTTGGGTCTTTTCCTCTGTGTTTAGATCTAATATGGAGCTTTCCACCCTGTTTGTCTTGTTTATTCTGTAGTGGTCAGACCAAAGCTGTATCTGGATTTTAAAAAGGGTTGGCTAACTATGATCCCTCCTACACACCCTTGTACAACTAATTAAATGCACCATGGGGTGGGAGATGGTGTTTACATTCCTCTGATGAACGGCTGGTTGGATGCGGTATACTGGAGTAATCAGATGGTTTGATCTGGCGTGGCAAACCCTCAAGATATATCCAATTCTAGACAATTGGTACACATTACATCTGTGAAATGGTCTGCACCTAATTTACCGTGTTAGTGCAAGAGTCAGGTCTCACAAGTAAGACTGGTCACTATTTGGATGAAGGCTCTGAAGGAATACACGTCTGCTGCAGAAAGACATTGGTGACACTCTTGCCTCAGACAGTACTGACCTAAAGCCCTATGATAGAAGTCAAAAGGGCTGTATTCTCAGCCTTATTGATGAGACAAAGTGGCCTCAAACTACTAGCCATGGTTAAAGATGCCGTGGCTCTTTTCACTTAGACATATTCTTCATTTCCTGCATTGAGCAGCTGGCTGCTGCTGTTGAGACCTGTTAAACAGCTGCCACGTCAGAGACCCAACATGGCAGAGTGGTGGGATAGAGAAAAATCTGCTCTTAGGGAATGTCTGCGCTGGAGGTGTGATTGCAGCACTTGTTGTCGTCATTTGAGCTAGCTTGCTAAAAATGAGAGTGATGCTGCAAGAGCACAGGCTAGCGGCCCACGTACAGGCCCAGCCAGGACCCTGGATACGTGGTCAAGCAGCCAGCCTGTGCCACTGCAGCTTCATCGCTATCTTTAGCCAGCTAGCTCTGGTACGGTTTCTGCAGGGATAGAGCGAGACCGTCCCCGCCATAAATTTGTTTTCTAAGGTAGCTTCTGACTTCTACCTATACCACACTCTTGACAAGTTACTTCCCTGAATCATGACCACTACTGGGAGACGCTAGCTCATAAATTCATTGAAAAGTGAGCTCTTAAGTATTACCGTGGTGGGTTGAAACCCATTAGGAATTGCCTAGACAGCAACTTCCAAACTGGCTTGTGGACCACTTGCTGGTCACTACCATTGTCCTTTTCTTCTTGGGTTCTTCTAGTAGTCTGCCTTTTGAGGGTCTTGTATTTCCTCTCTTGCTGTGGGACTTGGTGTGTGTGTGTGTGTGTGGGGGGGGACCTATTTTCCTGATGAGTGGATGTAGACTCCAAATGTTTTTAGGGACGTGAGGTTGGATTTCCCTTATTCAGCCCCTTCTAGAGTGAATTAGGTGTTTTAAATATTGCAGCAGTGGATGTACTCAAAATGGTACAGGTAATGAGTCTTTCTGTAGTTCGTTTGAGGTGTTCTGTGCATATCCATATGACCCACTCTCCATCCCCACTCTGAAGTTAAAGGTATAAAGTTAAAATTTAAGAGCAGGTTAGACAAAGACATGTTAGGGATGGTTTGATATTTGTCCTGCCGTGAGTGCAGGGGACTGGACTAGATGGCTCCTTGAGGTCCCTTTCAGTCCTACGATTCTCTCATTCTAGGAAATAACTGTGGGTTGCAGCCCCTTATGGGGGTGGGGGGTATGTGCACAAGCCTAAAGGCCAAAGCTTTCTCGAGGGAAGCAGTTAAGACACAGAGTCGGCGCACCACAGGAGCATACATCTCTGCAGGCAGTTACCTCAGACTCCCAGTACAGCTGAGCAACCTCTTTTTCTAATACTTTTTGTAACTTGAAAGCCTGTTCTAAGAAACCAGAGAAGTATATGGAAGTGTGCTAAAATACCATCCTACAAGTGATCCTCTTGCTGTTGAGTAAGTTTGTGCCTTTCTCTTAACAGAATTCCTCGTGTTGGATAGGTGGGAACAACGAGCCATTGACTGGATTTACATGGAGAGGTGGATGTGAAAGAGAAACAACTGGCATTCAGATTTGGAGTGAAGTGTTTGTAATTGACAAGTCTGATGGGACAAAGGTAAATATTTCTATGGCTAAATGGACTCATTCTTCTTTATAACCTCTTAGCTTTTGTTGCCTTCATGAATTTGGTTATAATGTTTGCTTTTTAAGTGGTCAAATACTCTAGTCACCCTCTCTTTGTATTAATCCTAATAGTTTCTAAATAAAATTTCTATTTATTTATGAGACGGGGTGGGGTACAGGAAGGGAGGAGAGGGAGAAATTCTAGCCTTGCTCCAAAGCCTTTTGCCAAAATCAGATCCTCTTAAAATAAATATATAATTTGCTACTGTGTTGCTGTTCAGATACTTTGTGGCTATCCTGGAAGGCTTTCTAGAAGTGACTGCTATTGACAGTGCTGTATAGCCAAATGCTCTGGAAAGTGGAAGTATTCTGCAGAAAAAGCTAGTGAATTCTGCAAAAATGGGACGCTGTCGTAGTCTGCAGTTAGGCTCCAGTGGAATGGCCACAGAATACCTGGCTTTAAGTGTACGTGGAAGTTGTTGATCCCTCTCTGAACAGTTCTGGATGTGAGGTTCTTCTTGAGATCTAAGTTTTATGTATAATCTCTTCAAAGCAAAGGGTTCACAAGTTGCATTGTGTAGTGAAATATGCAGTGGCTGCTGATAACAAGGATTAAATCTTCTTAAGCCTGCCTCCCAGAGCTCTTGACTGATATTTTTCATAAGCATGGCACTGCTAGAGCCCAAAGGGAGAGTTGGCAGCGTCATTGGCTGGATAATGTTACAAGTTTTAAGTAGATGGTGGCCTCAGTGAATGTTAGAAAGAACCTTACATCCCGAGTTGTATAGCGTTGCCTCTGTAACTTCCATGATTTTTAAGTCAGGGCTAGCTGACTGATTCTGTGATTGCAGAATGGTCAAAGTGTGGGATCTTGTCTCTAGCAGCTTGTGTAATGTTACCCATGTGTTCTTTTTTTCCTATCTTTTATAACGGAAAGAAAAAGAAATCTGAATCTATTTCAAAGATCTAAGGGATCAGACAGAAGTGTCTTGGAGTCGGGACTACTTCACTGTTTCATCACTTAATTGTCAACTTACTTAGTAGGAAACAGCTAGTTTTCCTTCAGAAAATGTTTAATTGCTTCATATCTTCTTGACGTAAGCTTTATCACACATCTAGTGTTCATGAAAGGTGCTGGATTGCTAGCCCCAGAAACTGAAGTCTTCTGGTGTGTCACAGTCAACTGTAAGGGTCGGCTTTGTTACAGTGCCCTGTAAGAGTGCCTCATTGGTCATGGTTGAGGAGACTTCAGGGGGAGAGGCTAACTCTGTATCTGTGTATTCTATCCTTGGCCTCTGCAGAATGCCAGTAAAAGGGTCACTCTTTGGTAGTGGTTTGAGTCGTGGACATCTGTCTACTGGGAGCTGAAGTAAGACTGTCAACTTGGTTTTAATGAGTCATCAGAGGGGCAACGACTTCCACTACCTGGGCTGGATCTGACCCAGCAGCCTAGAGGTGAAACCATAACATCTTGGTTAATTGTTGCTGCTTTTTAAAAATCTTTAGGTGGCTGTACTCCTTATGGATACCCAAGGTGCCTTTGATAGCCAATCCACTATCAAAGACTGTGCGACGGTATTTGCTCTGAGCACCATGACGAGTTCTGTCCAGGTGAGAATAGCTGTGCTGATAAATGGCAGCTTTTAAACCTCTTTGGCTTAGAAGACATCTTAAAAATATATCTTTAGTCACATTTTAAAAAAGAATAGGCAGACCTTTTAAATTTCCACAGCTCATTTAGAGTATTGCAGCTGAATCTCTCTTTGGATCTGAGATTACCTAAGCACTACCCCTGTTACAGGTCCCTAGTTCTGTTGCGCTGCAGATTCTACTAGGGGAATCCCAAATTGATTACAAAAAATATAGTGACACCTCCACAAAGATGCATGGCAAAAATTGCTAAATAGCCCATCTTTTACAAAGGGGGGGCTGACCCAGCACAATAACCTCTTAAATGCACTACTGCTGCTACTGTAAAATTTATTACAAACTTCTTGCAGTATGTCTCTTGAATACTATTTTGAGGTTGTTTTAAATTTTCAAAAATGACCGGGTTTTTTTAAGGAGTATCAAATTGGGCACTCATTCGTTTGTAACTCTTGAAAATGTAGGCCTTTGTTTATGCCTATGTTAAGAAATACAGGCATATAGAGAATCCCGCCTCTCAGGAGATGACAATACCCTTCAAAGGTATCTTCTAAATCTATTGATTAAATTTTAAGTCATGAGGGGAAAAAACACACTATAATTTTTATTACCCACTTTTAACATTTAAGAATAGAAAATGAGTTCTTGTAGCTATGTTTAAAGAGACACTGTCAACTTGAAATCTAGTCCACTTTTAAAAAATGAGATACTATATGTTTGCCCTGGAGTCCCCCCCCGTCACCTTCTATGCCTTTACAGTCTTGTCTGTTTTTAACTGGCTTTTTTCTTCATTGTTGCTGTCCAAAAGACCCATACAAACAGGAATCTGTGCATTTGATACTTTGTGTATAGTCGGTTTCACTAAGTAAAATTTTTTGGGGGTGGGAATGATACTTTTCCCTTTCTGTTGAAGTAATCTTGCTTGTTACAAATAATAATATACCACAAACTTTTAGAAGATTGTTTTGTGGGTTTCACTTTTTTAATTAAAGGTAAATTTCAAAGCATTCTAACAACCTTGAAATACTATGCTGACCTTCCACGATATCAGGCATTTAGTACATTATCTTATCCTTTTCTCCTGACCCCGGGCTTGTATGACTTCAAATCTAGCCATAGATCACTAACTCTTCTTTGAGTTATGCCTCAGCATTCGGCATTGGCACTGTCTCATCAGTTCAGGGGCCTCAGGAGAGGTAATGATTTATTGGCCATGTTGGCGAAGTTTTATGTCAATTGGGATATTTAAAAGCAAAGGAACAGAACTTTGCAAATCAGGCAATATATAGCAGAGAACTATCCAACTCTATGTGGGCCACCACCAGCGGGGTTCTGTCTGATGCAACATTACCACAATAGCATGTGCTGGGGCATCCCCTATCCCTGCCCCAAGCAATCTGAGTTGGGGCTAGAGAGGAAGGTGAGTTTCGAACTGCTAATGCTAAATGTGTGCCCCTCTTACTCAACTAAGGGGGAGTGTTGAGCAAATTTAAAAAAAATATTTTGCAGCTCATTCACTCTTGAAAGAACTCTGACGAGCTAGGATTAGGAAACTAATCACCCCGAACAGCAGTTACATCCAAAGTAGTTGGTATGCCCAGGTGGCACGTTTGAAAATGGAGTACGTGATACCACTTTGCCTAAATAGTGACCGTTGGCTGTTCAGACCTCAGCAGAGCTGGTGTGAATACTCAAGTTCGCCACTATAGACTAAATCTATGTTACAGAAAAATAAAGAATAAACATTTCTCCCGCTAAAAGTCTTGGAACTGCAATATCTCTTACAGGTTTACAACTTGTCCCAGAACATTCAAGAAGATGATCTCCAACATTTGCAGGTAAATATAAACTGAGTTTACTTAATAATGGCTTTTATTGAAGTGCTGTCCTCTTAGAATTTTTCCGTTCCCTATTTTGCGATTTGAAACTTTAGGAACCCTATTTAAGGGATTGTAAACAACTTTTGGATCAGATTAGATCTATTTTTTTCAACTGGTTGTAAGCACGATCTTTTTAAAAACAATTAAGGTACTGGTAAAGCAAAGGCGGTTAGTGTGATGGGGTGTGAAAGTCTGTCTCCCTGGGAGGGAGCTCCCTGGCTAAGAGGCACGTCTGCCCAGCAATGCTGCTGAGCAGAGGGTCTGCCAAACCAAACAATAGGGGACTGATTTATTTTAGTTAAATTCCAGCAGGAGTCAGAATTGGCTCAGAGAGGCGCTGCCAATTTGGGACACTGTTAAGCACAGCTGTGTCTGATTAAGGTTTGGAACTTTCGGGCTAGTTTGCACTTGAAATTTGTACTGGTGTAATTGTGTTTAGATAGTGGTTGCTTTATTTTGCTGAAATAGTTCTACCAGTACAAGCCCTAGTGTGGATGCAGTTTAACTGCATTTACACCAATATAAGTGTATTCACATTATGGGGGTTGAATTGCTTTAACGACACCAATCTAGTTAAAGTGGCACACCTTTTTAGTGTGGGCAAGACTGTAGAAAGACAAGAAGCTGTCCAAGAGATGGAAGAATTGTCCTGTTTGTAACCTGCGTTTTCTTCTTTCTAAGTCACGTGAGGCGAGAGTGGCCAGAGGTTGCTGGGTTTTGGTTTTGTGCATGGAACACGAGCCTGGTCTCTTTCAAATAAATTTGAAGTCCCGGAGAGACTGGCTTTTGTGTTAGCCAAACCTCTGTCTCCCATCTCCAGCTGCTCAGACCATGGCCCCTGCCACAGCTTGAAACTGGTTAACACATCACCTGGTACCAGGCTCCCCGACACATTCAGCTTCGCAAAAGGTGACAGCTGCCAACAGTAGGAGCCAGCTTATAATTAGACATTTTTCAAATGCATTTCACAGCTAATACCTAAGTGCTTCGTACTGTTTGAACTTTCAGAGTGCAAGCTGAGCAAAAGAACTGGACAGTTTCTTAGAGGTTAAAGGGAAACTCTGATTTCCCAGGTGGCCTTGGTACTTTGGATTCCAGTTGTCAACCTTGGGGTTGACTTGAGTGGGGTGGGAACTTTCTCTAATAGTTGAGGGTGAGATTCATGATTTTGGGGTGGGGGGGAAGGACTGCCTGGTGGATGAAGTTGGGAAAGGGGGATAGGAGACCCATGCAGTCACAGGTTGGAGGAAGTAGTTTGGGGTTGATGGGCAGTGTCTCCTCCCCCAGCTCTTCTGTCCTGTGGACTTGAGGTGGGGGTGGGAAGATGCTTATATTATGGAAATAGAATCTGTGGCTTGTCCTAGGTCCTTGTTTGGGTACTTGGCAGCACCAGCTGTGTCCCTCTAATGTCCACTTTATGGGCCTATCCCCTTCCAGAGTGACGTGGTGGCTGGAGTAGGTCCCGGGTATCCATGTTTATATTAGGTTTCAGAGTAGCAGCTGTGTTAGTCTGTATCCGCAAAAAGAACAGGAGTACTTGTGGCACCTTAGTTTCTAAGGTGCCACAAGTACTCATGTTTATATTAGATACTGCCAGAGTTTACAGCCAAATCAACGCCACCTTATGATCAATGGAAGTAGACTGGGGGCCTCCCAAATGTGGTTTCATTCCGGTCTTTGAGAGGCTCCAGAGGCTAGTTTTGCATAAGTGCTCTTCTGTGCCAAAGGTGCTCTTGCGTTGGGTTCCACCGGGTGCCATCTCTTTCCCTACTCCTCTCACGTGTACATGGGTCCACTAGAGTGGCTAGTAAGGAGACGTAAGACTACTGTGTATCTTCACTGTATTGATGACCTCCAGCTGTCTCTTACTCGCATTGAACCAACAAGCTGGCTGAAAGCTCAAGCCATATAAGATGAGTGATGTTGGTAGGATGATGGAAGCAGCCAGAAGAGAAGATGAAATTAAGAGTGTGTGCTATTTGTTACTAGAGTTTGAGGTCTAATACCTTGTTGCTGCTGGTGGATCACGTAGCAGCAGTGCATAGGGTAGTTCTCTTCCATCTGCACCTGGCCAGGAGACTGCAATCATTCTCTTGAATGCACACTTTGCTACCGCAATCTAAGACTTTGTCGTCTCGTTTAGACTACTGCACTACTCGGAGCTACGCCTTAAATCAGTTCTGTAACTGAAGCTTGTGCAAAAGGCAGTGGCTTGTTTATTGATGAGTTTCTTGCTGTGATATAATACCAGTGTTCAAGGATCTGCGTTAGCTGCCTGTATGTTGGCTCTGGAGGTTGAGGTGTATCTGTCATTGGAGATTTTTAAGAGCAGGTTAGACAAACACCTGTCAGGGATGGTCTAGATAATACTTAGTCCTGCCTTGAGTGCAGAGGACTGGACTAGAAGACCTCTTGAGGTCCATTCAAGTCCTGTGATTCTAAGTGAGAGACCATATATCTGCCTAACTGTGATGGTGAAGTGTGCAAACTGGATCCTCTTCTTTTCCCCTTTCCCCAAGCTAAAATAGAAATGTGGTGATCTTCAGGGCTTGCTGCATCTGTTTCCCATGCTTTTGAGAAAGGTATCTGGTGGGTAGAGATCATTGGCTAGAGTGAGGGTTAGTCTGTCCTTACTGATTTGGGGAAGCAGCTGCAATTCTAAATTGGCTTTTATTTGTAAGAGATGTCAGAAACCTAAAGCCTCTGATGAGCAGTGTTTTGTAGAAACCCAAATCAATGTGCAGCATTTTGGAGGGGCACTCCCTGGGGGAGTTGGGAGCATGCTATGTCAGATGGTGACTGCCCCAAGGAGGCCTGGATGGAAAGGTTGGGCAGGGGGTACTCCTTTAGCTTAGGAAACCACAGGGTGGGAAGGTATCAGCTGTGCGAGACCAGGTGATCGGGATAATGAAGCTGGAAGCCGGGTGGGGTGGGGTGGGGGGCTTTTCAGAGACCATAGTGGGGACTAGGAGAACCATAGGAAGGTGGAGGGGAAATCTTCATGAAGAGGAGTGTATTGTGCTGGAATGACATGCAGACTTCCTTGAGAGGCCAGGGAACGGATACTCCTCCCTCAGTGCAATTTCTTGAGCATTGGTATTCTCACCCCCCAGGTGCCGAGGGTTAACTTCAGGGCTATTCTTAATATTCAGTAAAAAATTGGAAGCCATTAATTTTCCCATTGATAAGAGGAAGCATTTGGCAACACAGATTATTTTTGTAATCTATATATGGCATTATTCTTAACAGTTTCATTTAATAGTTGTTTACAGAGTATGGAAGACTTGCTATGGAGGAAATTTACCAAAAGCCATTTCAGGTAATACTTACTCTAAAGTCCAACCTTTTTACATAATTACCTAGTACAGGGGTTCTCAAACTTCATTGCACTGCAACCCCCTTCTGACAACAAAAATTACTACATGACCCCAGGAGGGGGGACTGAATCCTGAGCCTGCCTGAGCCCTGCCGCTGTGGGTGTGGAGGCCAAAGCCCGAGCCCCACCGCCCTGGGCAGGAGGGGTCAAAGCTGAAGCCCAAGGGCATCAGCCCCATGCGAGGGGCCTGTAACCTGAGTCCTGCCACCCAGGGCTTCAGCTTTGGCCCCAGGCCCCAGCAAGTCTAAGCCGGCCCTGGCGACCCCATTAAAACAGGGTTGTGACCCACTTTGGGGTCCCGACCCACAGTTTGAGAACCTAGTCCTCTTTTTGTGTAGATCTGGGTGAGATATGTGTGAAAAATCAAACCATGGTAATCTGCCTGATGAAATGTCATGTAAGTGAACTTAGGCTAGATAGAATCTTTCTGGGAAGGCTGAAGGAAATCTGACAAGGAGTTTAAGATATGAAGTTTAATACTCCCCTCGCCCCCAGCTTTTGAGCCCTCCTAAGGTAGTGATGGGTTTTTATGTTTAACTCTATTTCCAAAACAACTTGCACTAAGTCCTTCAAATGGTCTTACTCTCCTTGGAGTACTGGCAGTATAGATCCCCACTCTTCAGGGTTGTGCACTAGTCCCCAAATGTTGAAGTCCTCTGGAAAGCAGTTTAGGAGTCTCACATGTGTTCGTGTACAGAACCAAATGTTCAATGTGGGACTGTATAAGGAGCTGTAGCTCCATTTGGCTGTGGAGGTGAGAGGACTTGGAACCTCTCAAGTTCCTTCTTCCTTCGTAGGTGCCCTTAGATAGTTCATGCTAAAGTTTAAAAGTCTAAACAGACTGTGTTGTCAACAATATTCTATTGTCTGGCAATCCTGTTTTGTGCCTTATTCTGGAGCAGTGACCTTTGAGACACAGCCAGGGTTTGAGCCCAGTGGCTCTTTTAATAGCAAATTGTAGGACGAATGGGTGTTCTCGCTCTGGTGCTTTGTGGGAACATGCTCACTCCAGGCAGTCTTACGCCAAGGGACTGTGAACATCCTGAGCTCAGGGTTCCCTTGTAGCTTCTCTCTGCCTGTTAATTTGGTGTCTCCAAATCCTTTCACATCCTCCTTGTTCCCTGTCTGGTTCTTCTACCAGGTCCTGGCTTGTAGTTAAATCAGCAAGATACTGTAGGTGTACCTAGCTAGTGCCCTCTTGCTAGGGGAGTGATGTCATAAGCTCTGTTTCATGTCTCCAGTTGATGGAAGGGAGGATCACACTCCTATATCTGGGCTGGCAAGAGACAGAAAAACTAGAGTAACAGGTGAGAGTGTCCATTCGCTATCAAAGGTCACAAGTACGTGCTAGCTTGAAGGTGCTCCTTCGGCTGTACTTACTCACAACACGCAGAGAAATAACCAGTGTCTTGTCTTCAGCTTAATCAGGTTTGGGGCTATAGTTTGTTGAATTACCAGCAGCAGATGTAGGATTCTTGATTTTGTCACTTTCTGCTGCTATAAGGAATATTAAATTAACTATTCGTTATTATTGTGCTCTTCTGTGTAGACACTAATGTTCTTAATTAGAGATTGGAGCTATCCTTATGAACACTCGTATGGCTTGGAAGGAGGAAAAAAATTTCTAGAAAAGCGATTGCAGGTAAGTTACGACTTACAGAACTCACACTAGCTCCTTAGTTCAGGTGCTGTTCTGTGTTTGAGAGAGCTACACATGATTGCCTAAATATTTTCTGCTTGCTATTTTCTCGTAATAGAAATGATATTTAAATATGTGACATCAAGTGATTGCCTTTGTACGATCTACATTTTTATAGAAGTTCAGAAAAAGGCTAGACTGTGTTAAATCTATTCATAAACTTCCTGCCATTAAACTCCATTATAAATCTCGCGGTCAGCTCCACAGAGCCATTTAGAATTCTTATTTTGCTTTTTTTAGGTAAAGCAAAACCAGCATGAAGAGCTTCAGAACGTAAGGAAGCATATTCGCTCGTGTTTCAGCAACCTTGGCTGTTTCCTGTTGCCCCACCCTGGTCTTAAAGTTGCGACTAATCCAAATTTTGATGGGAGGTTGAATGGTAGGAAGCATTTCATTGTGTTAATTGCTTTGGATATATATCACTGACATTGTTTTGTTGTAGCACAGAACTTGCCTTAAATCTAGGTTTTATTGAAGAGTTTGGGGTTAAAAGGTAAAACTTAAGTGTGCATTGGCATATTCTCTTTTTGGGTTGTTAAACATATGGAGGAATTAAGTGATGATTTTTTTCCTGGTTCTGTGTTGCTTTTTAAGTTCTCAGGTAGCTGTTGGCTGTAACCTTGCAGATTTAACATTATCCAAGATGGCCAGGGGTGGGATTCTGCAGTGTCTAAAATCAAAGGATTTACAAGCAGAATCCCAGGAATTCCACTCACATTTTGGTGGGTGAGGAGCTGTTAATGCGCCAAAGGATGGTGTAGAAAAAAAAATTCTTGCGTCTTGTGGAGTTCCCACCAATTATGTGCTGGGAAGAGAGACTTGAGAGAAGATACTGTGAGTGATCTTCAAATAATTTATTCTAGTTACTCCAGTACTATATAGATGAAGGGAAAAACCCTACTCTGGCAATTGGAAACTATTGTAAAACTTCTTTAAGCCCTAAATATTTCTTCAGGATAAGCAAATTATTCTGAGTCAGGAAGCATTGGTTTTTGTTTTTAAGGGATTTGTTGTCAGTGTATGTTTCTAGAGAAGAAACTCATTATTACTTGAAATTGAGCTGTACCACCTTTTTCTCTGACTGATTCAATTTCCACCAGACATTGATGATGATTTCAAGAGAGAGCTGCGGGATCTGGTTCCATTACTACTTGCTCCTGAAAACTTGGTAGAGAAAGAGATCAGTGGATCCAAGGTGACTTGTAGAGATCTTGTAGAATATTTTAAGGTAGGCAAACGCTTGTACTAATTATTTTTTCATGCCTTACAAAAATTATCCTGATTTTAGAATGCGTTGCCCAAGAAGAGAGGATAGTATCTAGGTTCCACTCACTGATGAGCTTTAGGTAGTTGTGACTTCAATTTCAGCACTTCGACTGAAACTGGTACGCATGGTTTTCCACCAGACCAGCTCTAAGGGCGATCGAGCCACCGGGGGTCGATTTAGCTAATCTAATGAAGATCTGCTAAATCGCTCGCCGATCGCCAATCACTCGCCCGTCGACTCCGGTACTCCACCAGAACAAGAAGCATAAGGTAAGTCGACAGGAGAGTTTTTCCTGTCGACACAGCGCGGTGTAGACACCGCAAAAGTTTGACCTAAGCTACGTCGACTCCAGCTATGTGAATAACATAGCTGGAGTTGTGTAACTTAGGTCGACTGACTCCCATGGTGTAGACCTGCCCTAAGTGAATTACTGTTTTGGCTGTGCCTTTAGATAGGTGTAGGACCAAAAGGCAAATCTTCAAAAAAAATATTTGATAGATTATCACTTCTAGTATCCTTAAACTGAGTTTGAGTGAGACAACTTAGAGCAAAGTGCCAATCTTGGTCCTGATATAACTTTAAATATAGGTATTGTGTGTAATTACACCTGTAATTAAAGTTGTCTAAGCACGTCCATTTGAAGAGCTGTTTTCCTAAGTTCATAACTTAGTCAAATTTTGGTGCTGAAATTGTCCATGTTCTCTCTCAACCTGAGAGAACGCTTCTTTGAAACGTTAGAATAAAGATGGCATAGCTGTTTTTAATGACTTTTGTGTAGGGAGCACACACTTGTTGCTGTTTAACCAAAACAAAACACTTCTGCCACCTTTGAAGGCCTGTGGTGTCTCAGGGGTTACGGCAGAAACTTGAGAATAAGCAGTGTGTAGTTCCTAAGTTTCCAGTAAAAAGTGACAGAGTCCTGTCCAGGACTCTTTGTCGCTTTTTACAAATCCAGACTAACATGGCTACCCCTCTGATACTTAAGTTTCCAGTGTGCCTTTTGGTGGTCTGGTGAAAAATCTGTTGTGACCTGGGGAGAATTGCAAGGGTTTAAAAACTTGTATCATGCAGGCACACTGCTGTTGTCAGAGAAGAAAAGGGTTGTTTTTCCGAACCTCACAATGTTATGTTGGCTCCACTTACGCATGTGTGGGTAAATTCTGAACAACTTCATTTGTAATATGGGGGTGTGTGCAGAGTAGGATCTGTGAAGGCATATAGGGCATGAAGCAGGGGCTCTGCAGCAACCCTTCCTTTCTGTCCTGCACATTCTGCACACCCAGCAATGTTTGATTGCTCCCTAGCAAATAGTTCTTCATGGTCAAACTTCTTTTTAAAACAAAATCGCCTTGGAAATTCCAGATCAAAAGCTACATTAAAAGAACATGACGGTTTCAAAGTGAAGCACTTGAGTCAGGAAATACTAAGTTAAGGCAGCACTGACCACCAAAACTCTGGCCCTGGTGAGCCAATGTAGTAGAACAGTCTTTAATTACGTGATTGCATGCAGATTTTTTTCTCCATAGGACCTCTGCCTCACTTGGTTCAGGGATTGGCTGTTTAGTGAATGTGAAAGGGACCACACCTGAAAAGTGAGGATAAAATACATAAATATTTAAGAACAGCTGCCTGATTCATGTTGCACTGTCCAACCTGTGCAATGAATGACATGGGGTGCTGTGAGAAGACTAATACGTGATCATGCAAATAAAGACTCACAACATATAGGCACTAGGGAGTAGAACTAAGGTTAGGAGGGCAGCCTTAAGTCAGGAAATAGTGAAGTTGAGAGCTTTTCTTTGCTGTTCTCCTGATTTAGTTCATGTCTGTTATTCAGAAGAGTTCCATGCAAATTGGCCACTTACTTGTCTCATAACAGAACTCTGGATGCTCGGGGGCCCTGTTCTTTGACTTCCGTTCTGAAAGTGGAAGTCCCACCCCCAGCATAGACGTCTGTACATCAGCATCAGGGACCAGGACTAACAGCGGGGAAGGAGAAATCCCCCTTCTCTCTCTCCCTCCCCCACTCCTAGAGATGGATAACTATGAGGGAGAGGGGTACAGGAGGAACAACAGAAGAGTTCAGTGTGCTAGCTAGTGCAACTGGCCCAAAGCCGTGAACTCCCTGCTGCTGGCCAGAGCCCCCGTTTCCCATTAATCTCACCCAGAAGGCCTAAGTTCCTTCCCCAGCTCACTGCATACAGGGCATTGCTCCCCACCGACCTCTGAGGAGTGTGCAGATTGGACACAAGTACGTTGTCCTCTTCCTTTCCTCCTCGCCACAGACACAGGACAACGGAAGCTCTTGGGTGGGGTGGGGAGCTGAGGACCAGCTTGATTGTAATCAGCCCACTTAGCGTCCCAGCCACCCTGCCGCCCCAACCGTCCCTCCCATGTCCCAGGGCGGGTAGCTCCTTCACCTTCCCCCAGGTTCTCTTATTCCTTCAGGGGTGGGGACATAAGTGTTCCTCCACCCCCAACTTGTTTACTGTCTGGGGATGGGGTGTAACTCTGCTGCTCCAGATTCTGGGGAGGGCACGTGTGTGTGCGGGGGGGCGTTGTCTTCCCCCAAACTTTGAGAGGGGTTCTCCCCAGCCCCCCAGAAACTCCCCCCACATACATTTGGGGTGTGTGTGGGGAGTGGTGGGGGGGAGATAGGTGCTCACTCTTCCCTGATGGGCTCCAGGCTGCCACTCCTTGAAACAGTAGTAGCCTCTTCTCTTCAAAACCCTCTTCTATGTGGTAGGCCTCAGCCCTGGTGATGTACAAACCCACCCGAACAGGGGATAGAGCCGTCGGGCTCTGAAAAGGGCTAGTTTGGTGTCTCTAAACAGACCTATTTTTAATAAAATAAAACCCCAAGATTCATCCCTGACTCACTTTGTGTGTGTGTGTGTGTAAATTGTAAACGTGTCAGTGAGAAGAACCTTCAAATGAAGCAAGTAGAAAGCGTTTTTAATACCATGATAGACATATAGCTCTAATCTTGGTAAACGCACATATTAATTGCCATGTGTCACTACAGTATTGCTTTGATTCACTCAATATGGAGATTAGTAGGGACAGCATTTATTATAAGGGGTTTGGAATGTAAAGGGATTAAAGTGTTGGGATACATGTGTAAATGTCAGTTGTAGATTATTTTACTCCTACATGTAGAGATTTGCTTAATTGAATATTTAGGATTAACCTGAAGGACTGATTTGGACCCTGGCTTTCTTCCCATCATAAATGCTCAGGTCAAAAAAGAATCAATAAAACAAAATTTAATTAATTGTTTTGTTTTTCAGGCTTACATTAAAATCTATCAGGGAGAGGCGCTACCTCATCCTAAATCAATGCTCCAGGTATTTCCTTATCCTTTAAACATAAGCAGAGTGAAGAAACAAAGATTAAATTCTTTGCAATCATTAAGGGATGTATTTCTTCAAGAGACTGAAGATTGTGACTGAAGTGTTAGCACGCATGGGGCATGTTTCTTCAAGAAGGGCCGAGGCAGTTACCCACTTGAGGGCTTGTGTGGGTTCAGAATCACCTGAAGTGGTAGCCACTGGGGTTCTGATGTATATTAGCATATCCACTCCTTCAAAACCTTGCCATGTGGTCTACATTTTGACTCCGTTTCCAGTATTGTTTTTATTAGCTTAGTGTCTAGTGCTAATAGATAGGAACACTTAGTCAGTTAGAGGTCTGCACCATTACATGGTGACATGCCACTTTTCACTTTGTGAGTCTGTATCAGATAAGGTAACTGTACCAATATTCCCCTCCATGGCTGATCCAGGGAGGAAGATCAGATTTAGATTGAGCTTTGGGCAGTCCAGTCATGCCTTGCTCAAGTGTACAATGCTTACGTTGTTTGGGGTTTAGGACTTGCAACAAGGAGGTGCTCCGTTTGTGCTGGCTTTACCTCTTGGGTCTTGAGGGATAGATGGCTGAAAGCCCCTTTAATGAAAGAAGCCGGAGGAGTTCTTTGGTTTAGAATCTGAAATTGTTCTGGGTACCTCCCCTTCAAGGAACCATCTCCTCCTTGGACTTGTCTAAGGGTTCAGAAAGCCTCTTCCAATGCTCCTTCAGATCCAAAGACAAGGGATGGACTCCAGTGGATCGCCACTTCCCTTCCTCCTTCCCCCTGTGACTTTGAGGGAGAGGGTGGGACTACATTCTTTCCTGTAACATTAATTAGACTGGTTGGCTCTGACATGGAAACATGCATGACCCAAAAAGACACTGCTTACTAGAAATTCTGAGCCTGCAACCGCAGGCCTGTGACCTGGCAGAGATAACACACTCAGGGGAGAGGGGGAAACTGCTTTTTATACAGCGATGGAATTTTTTTCTGACCACTTTCTAATATGTTAATTTGGATATCCTTTTCCAGTTGGTAACCATCAAAATAGTCTCTTCCATACCTGTCTTATGATAGAAAAATCATGTACAGGCATATGGGTGTATAATTACGTAGCTTTTCTAGAGTGCCAGGGCTGAAATCTTTGCTTCTAGTGAGCTGTTTTAATCTATTTTACAGCAGATCCTTTATTTGTTCACATGGAAGGTTTTCTTTGGGTCTGAAGTTAATGGGTAAACATTCAAAATGAAATGGTACAAAACTGGTTAAAGGTGTTGGTGCTTCAGAATGTAGAACTAATATTACTGGCAAGTCCGATACAACCACGTACAGTGCTTGGTCAATATCTGTACGCTTTCATTTTCCCAAGGCAACAGCTGAAGCCAATAATCTTGCTGCAGTAGCAGGAGCAAAAGACACCTACAACAAAGGCATGGAGCAGGTATGTTGATTGCAAAATTAAAGCAACGGTGTGTGTAGTAAGGCCTCTGTTGTAGAGTTGTGCACAATGTGGTGTTAAACGGTTACATGGTTAACATACTAATGGACAAACTGGCTGAGCATCAGGACTCCATGTGTGAAGATCACACATGCAGCAAAAGTCACAAGATCACTCATGAGGGAGGGAGAAGGAAATTGATGGTGAGGGAGGGGGGCGGGATTGAGATGTATTTTCTACATGTGGAACACCACATACTAAATGACTTGAGAATTCTATTAGCAGCAGCTGATTAAAAAGATATGAAGCAGCTAGTAGAATGAACAGATGCATTTGGTGATAGCATCACTGTGCAGGGTTCATACTAAAAAACACAACAAAAAATGGTTTGGGTTTTGGCGATATTACACGACTGATTTCTGATAATTTTCTATAAGGCTATAGAGCAATAGCTACTGTTAGCCATAAAATGTGAAGATTAAAAGGTACTTAAATATTCAGTATTTGCAAAATCCAACAGAGGGTCCTGTGGCACCTTTAAGACTAACAGAAGTATTGGAGCATAAGCTTTCGTGGGT